TGGCGAGGACTCAGGCGACTGAGAGCTAGAATCAAGTTAGAGAAATACATTTTTCACTTTTCTCCAAGCTCTCTTCTTCTTCTTCTTCTTCTTCTTCTTCTTCTTCTTTCTGTCTCCGTATCAAACGGAGTTTAACCAGCCAGCTTCCTCCACGTTGATTGTTGGTGATGTCAGGATCAAATCTGCCGTCTGTGGGGAATCCCAGGTTTGTGTGATGAAGCAAGTTTATCGTAGGAGGCAAAACCATTTTAACCCGAGTGAATGCAGACGCGCCTCTGCTCGTGTCTCCTGGCAGGAAATCGCAGCAGGTCGTCTCGTTGCGTGGACTTTATTCTCTCTCTCGCCACTTTGTGTTTTTGTAAATGTAGCATTTAAAAGTTTGTGCTTCAGGTTTCCTGAGAGAAACGTGAACATTTTATTCATGTATGACGTAGAAATGAGTCGATGTGCGTCTGTGTTGGATCTGCATAGTGAAGCTTCTCGCCTTAGCGGCTCATTTAGTCCTAAATATGGTCGCAGCGTCCGTCTTTTGCGTACAGTCTGTGTGTTTGATGATGGGTGTATTCTTTTGCATCGACCATATTAGCCGCGGCGCCTCGTCGTTAACACTCAGCAGTGCTCCTCGTGCGCTGTTTGATGCGAGGCCTGTCAGGCAGGATGAGAGCACTTCCACAATGTCACACAAAGTGTTTTCTATTGTGTGGAGAAGTTTCCAGCGTGCTGCTGGTTTGTGTGTGGAGTTGTTTCCCTTTGTGCTTCTCTTAAACAGCATGATGATGGTCCTCATGCAGACGCAGCGCCGCGTTTCCTGTCGTACTTTCAGCAGAGAAGTGAAAATGAATAATTAATATTCATTTCTGAGGAGTCACAGAAAGTCTCAGCTGCACAGATGGTTTAATCAGGAACAGGAAGTCAGCCGTGTTTTCCTTCTCATCCCGACGAGATTTTCGCAGCAGGTCCCGCGACTTCACAGATTCCACGTTTCCGCTGCACGAGCCGGCGGCGGTGAGACGTCTGAGGAAGATGTTCCGACGGCTGCTGCTGTTCCAGCCGTGCACGTGCACGTGCACGTGTGCGTGACAGGTGACCGGAGCTGTGTGTGCACGCACGCTTATTACAGTGTGAAACACTTGACTTCCATATGAACGCGATCACATCCTGATGTCTTTCTTTCTGCGCCGAGGCCTCAGTCACAGAGGTGGAAGCAACAACAGGGTGAGGTCAGGCGGAGTGGGAGTGGTATTAGCATGAGAAAGCCTTCGTCCTCGGCTCTCTCTTCCTCCTCGGTCACAGGACGGTTCGCTCTTCTTAAGCGTGCAGTTCAGTTTCTGAGGAAATCTTTGTCCACTGGTTTGTTTCACTGTGGTAAACAGAAGAGACGTGAATCTGTCACAGAGCACGACACTGAGACAAATTCAGCCTCACGTGATTCATATTTATCAGAAATAATCATTCACCGGTGACTGATCCAAACATGGATCCGTGCGTGCTGCTCGCATTATTACTGAGCTTTGAACTCGGTCATATCTGACGTTTCTTTTGATACAAAGAAGCAACTTGTTGCTGCAACATTTCTGGATGATGGAGACATGAATGCTTCTGCTCGATGTCTTGGAGCGGTTGATGCCTTCTGCCCTGACTGACCCTGTGAGTTACACTGTCAGGTGGGACTGCTGGCGTTGGCCAATCAGAGGAGCTCTCATTTACAGTTTTATATATAAGGCGGTGCTGGGATTGCTGCCCTCCTGCACGTGTTGCCTGCTCGCAGGGAAACGTGCAGCTCGTGTTTCTCTTGCTTTCTGTTTATTTGCACAAACTGAACTCAGAAGAGTTTTTGTGTGTTTGGCTGCAGAACGACTGGGAAACGAGTTCATTTCATTATAAATGCTTTTAAATCCAAACTAAGATCCTTGAGGCCGTTTCCATAACACACAACTGTTTCAGTGAGATTGCTGTCATTTTAATTGAATTGAATTTTGTGTGTGTTGTTGTTGCCTGTGTTTAATTGTCTAATTTTTGTAACTGTGGAGTATGCTGCTGCCTGTTTTGAGCAGGCCTCCTTTGGTTC